AGAAGACCTCTCTTGGAATGGTCTTCCAAGAAAGTTCTTGCAGGATGTCATCTTGCAGAAAATTAATTAACAGAGCGAATTTCGTCCCATAATTATTTTTTTCGATTATGAGTCACATTTTCTTTCCTTTTCCTTTTTCGTCGTCGCACGTAATTCACTTTCGATGCATGATGTGATTACTGAATCGATTTAATCAAACGATCTTATGCACGTGCAGAGTGCACATGACAAAATTTCGTTAGATTGGTCAAATATGGATTTCTATGGATTTACTTTATATTTTCATATCTTTTTTTACTTATCTAAATCTCGCTTCAAGTCTCGCGCCCACATTCGAGTATTTAATAAATATTTCATTTAAATATACAAAATATATGAACAATAATATAAATTTATAAGAAAATGTTATATACTTATATAGCTTAAATCATAACAAAAAACCTACTATACCATGAAAAGATTTTATTATTAAAAAAGCTTTAAATTAATTTTTGTCCAATATTAGGAGTTGTACTCATTAAGAAGTATTTATCAAGAAATAATAATAATTTCAATTAAACAGAAAATAAAATTATAATTCAACTCTGATACAATATACCTTGAAATTAATACCGCTTTACGGTCAAATTAAAGTAATTAATTAGCATATGTGTTCAAATGGCATAAAATAAGAATAAACATCGCTCTATAATTAGTCATTATGAGAGAAACTTGGTGATATTTTGTGTGATGAATACAATCTTCTACAATTAATTTCTATATACTCGAATGAGGGCAAACAATTAATCTATTTTGATAACTATGAAATATATGTTCTTTAGCCCGCTTATCTTCATCCTGCACTTAGTGATCAAAACCAATAACAACAATAAGACTCATTGTCAGTAGGAGCGTCAATTTCCCTTGGATAATACTTGATAATTTATAACAAATAGTGATATCTGTTGAAAACATGATAGAATTCTGTATTGTGATAACAATTAACAATATGATAATATAATATATAACACAGAAAAACGTTATAGAAGATATAAGAATTGCTTGGGATAATTTATTTAAGCATATTTTTTAAATTATTGCATTAATGTTAGTAGGCTTTGAATAAACAAGAAGGACATATAATAATTTTATATTCAATAAAATTTCTTCTTTTTTTTCTTTTGGGAGTACGTAAAAGTTTTAAATTCTACAAGTGCTTCAATCTAGACATTGTTATTTCAATTAAACAGAAGGCGAAACATCAAAATTGATATATCAAAATTTATATTAAAGTGAACGTAAAACCTGTGTACAATTACGTTTTGAAAAAGAATACATAGAATACAAGAATATTAGTAAGAAAATCATATAAAATTTATTTTAAATTTTATAACATATCCAAGAGGCTTTATGTGAATCAAATTTAACTTTGCCAGTTTCCGTAAAAAATAACAGCTAATTTTTGCTCTTTCATGCGTGCCGATAAAATACAATTTGTATAACAACAATCATAACATTTGAAAATAATTTCAAATTAGCGAAAATTAAATATTAAAAAAATTAATATGAAAATATTGTTGCAAAAATATTTAGAATCTTCCTGCTGGTTTACTGCAGTCTTCATGAATTATGACTGATCCAGAAAACCATGATGATGATAATTTATTCTTGTAGAATAAATTAAAATTCGATAAAATAATATTTTCACTTGATAGAACAGGCTTGCAAAATATAAAATTATCGAAAATTCTTTCTTCGTTCCGTTATTCAATAAATAATTATATATCTAAATTTAAGTTATGGTTCTCTTCTTGATTAGGCACAATTTAATAGTTACTGAATAGTTACTTTGATTACCGGAACAAAAGAAGTTTTGATATATTTTACAAATCTATCAAGTGAAAACGTTATTTCATCGAAGAGTGTTTTTATTTTAATGTATTTTGCAAGAAATCTCATCAAGTGTGTTTTCTTGTTTTTATCATACTGTCAAATGGCTACAGCGAATCAGCAGGAGTCTTAAGATGATTGCAAAAAGATGAATTATTTGTTTTTTTTCTTTTCTTTTTTTTTTTTGTTTGGAAATTTGTTTATCAAATCTTGCGAATCTCGCGATAGCGAGAAGGGGCAGCATTTTCCCGGTCAACGAATCCGATTTCCGGCTTCCGGTGAGAGTAATCATCGTAATTAGACGCGCACGCACGCAAGATATGGTCCAGAAAGCTCTATCAATTTATCAATTTTACCGTTTCTTGTACAATATGTTTTAGCCTTCCTCGCGACCACCGTTCCTCCCAATCGCCCTCTTCATCACGCCAAACCCACAACCATCACCACTACCAATACAACCAACATCACTGTCACTATCGCTAACAGTACTAGCGCAAGTACCGCCCCGGTAAAACGTTCCCCGGTAAAGCATTCGGTTCATACGACCGTCCATCACCCACTTACGTCAGGCGCTGCCGCTGCGGCCAGGCCGGAGCACGGCGTTAAAGATTTAAGCCAAAGGTACCGTGGTGCGAATGACGAGGCTCAGACAAAACTGGCCCGCGGGCATCCAGCAGCTGCGGCTGCAGCCGCCGGCGATGATCCATCATCCAAATCATCCCTCGATATGCGATCCGCGTCAAATCGAGCCGCTACTACCGCCGTCCAAGCTAGTAAGTAGCATGTTGTGCCGTGGTTAAAAAGAGAATCTCGATTTAGTCTTTTGCTCTTTCTTTTTTTTTTCTTCTTTTTAACGTTCAGTCATTAGCCAGTGTCTCTGCTTCGTATGCTCGCTGTTTTGTGTATCTATATATTATTGGTGTAACTTTGTGACTGATACAAGATATATGTTTCCATCTTTATGTATCTATATATATATATATATATATATATCTCACTCTGTCATTCACTAATCTGTATATTTTTTTGTCTTTCCATGTCTATAACGCTCTAACCACTGCCTCCGTCTATTGTGGCTGCTTTTGATATTTACTACTAGTATTGAAAACATGTAATACATGCTATTGTGGATTTTTAATACTAATAGTGAATATTGGAGTGCAGCTTGTGTTGCATAATAGAGTGTCGATTTAGTGAAGCTAATATCTGAATTAGATTATTACTGTTTGCACCGTGATGAATATATATGCAAAACGTCTCAACATTACAAAATGTCTCTCCCCCTCCTTTTTTTAATAGATAAAAAGATAAGTTACTGGGGAATTTAAAAGACATCGAGAAAATTATCGAGGAAATTACATGTCGTTTGCTACTGAGTTACAAAAAAAATAGATTCATTTCTCGTAATTTTGTCGAATAAATTTAAAGAAAGAAACACTTTCAAACTCTGTTGAATTTTAAAGAGTGTAATATAAATTATATTTCTTTTTAATTGATTTCTTACGAATTATTTGACATTATAATCTGGATAACCATAATCGATGCTCTAACGCACACATTTCCAACTTGTGTTGCGTTTTTTAATAATTTATTTTTATAAATACTTATATACATGTTCTCTTCGAGAAATCTTGTTGGATCGAACAATCTACAATGCACAAACCGTGCACGAACGAAAATATAAATTAAATACAAATGAAAAGAGAAAAGTACACAGTACTTTCTTGAAAATGTTTGTCACGAATTCCTTATTTTTATTATTATTTTTCTGCATTACAATTTATGTATCTTCTCGCATATACTCGTAAATATCTTAACTAATTGTGTATTCATAAAAATTCTTATTTTTTTTTTTTTTTATTATTTTTTTATCCCAACTGAAAAATGCTGGCGAATTGTAAAAATCACTACTTTTTTATTCGGGCACTCTAAAGTCTTTAGGAGGTTCGAAAACTAGGACATATCAATGACTAAGTTCACAATAAACGATCGATTTTATTTTTGCCTTCGATTTGCCTTATATCATATTTTATCGTTATACCACGATATGTATATAAACGTTGCTCTTCTCGTAAAACAAATTTCTTACACTATCTACGAACTTACCCTCTATGTCAATTGTACAAAATAGGATAAAGTTTCTCGATAGTGAAAGGCTTTGTGCTTTTTGCAAATATAAACAGAATGCATCAGAAGGAATCATACCTTAAAATATTTCAAGGATTACACATTTATTTATTGTGAAATTATATCTTCCTCTTTTAGACATCAATTCGGATTATTTTCTGAATATACCTGTAATGTTTATCTCCAATATTTATTCTCAATTTTGGCTGTTATCATTTAATATTACGCGTGTTATAAGTCGACAATATGATTCGTGCAATTAATTTCCATATAAATTTAAATCTTTAAAATATCAATTAGGAGTTTTCGCAATGTTTTCGTCGGGAAAGAAAAATCATTCTTCGTGAGAAGAAGTACACATAATTAACATACAAGTAACTAATATAATTAAAAACGTATCTCTTCAAAGGTGAAAAAATGAAATTGTCCGTAGTGTGCAAGTTGATCTCTTTTTTTCTCCGATGCTGGCTTAAAGATTTAATCACCACGTAAATAAATAATGAAGCACAAATACGATCGAAGTATAGGGGAGAGAGATCGTTTCCGCGATTTACTTGGATACAATACGTACATTACTTTGTCAACTTGTTGCATAATACATATCTATATACTAGCACATATGTGTGTATATTTATTATATATATATATATATATATATAAATATATATATGTATATTCACACTTTGCGCCTTTCTTTTTCTTTCCTCTTCCTTCTCCCTCTTCTTCCCTGTTTCTCTACTGTCTCCATGTGTGTAACTGTATGTACTGTTGTTGCGTATCTTTATATTGCATCCTGAATACACACCAGTAATATATCTTCCGAGATATACATTATTAGCAGTCCTCGTATATTTTTTTCTACTCACGTTCAAGGGAAAATTTCGCCTGCACTCGATGCCGGCATTAAATCTTTTGATCTCTTCAGGAATATGAAAATAACATATAAGAATATCTCAAGGAACCCGACGTATTGATAAAAGGACAAAGATATTATTATTTCGTCGCAGCAGCGATAATTGTCGCAGCTTAGAATAAGTAGCTCTTTTAATGTTAAACTCAATGACACGTGTAAAAGACGTCTACTGTCTTGAAAATGATAGCTTAACATGTTTGCTACCACTGTTCCAACATGCAACGCTCTGATTTTTCATAAGAGATCGCACAATATATATACAATAATGTATGATGGCGATATGCATATTTCTACTTATATAGGGTTATATGAACTTACATATATTAAATAAGCAACATATTATATATAATGTAGCGAATATAAATATATATATATGTGTGTATACTAATAAATAGATCTTTTTAAACTCTACAACTTTTATTCGAAACACATTTCTGTAAAACTTATATTTTTACTTGAAAAATATAAATTTTACAGAATATATATATATATATATATATATGAGACACATTATATGTAATAATATATTGTTTATTTAATGTATATAAATCTATATCCTATATAAGTGCAAATATACATAACATTGAATCAAATTATTAAAAATTACTAAAAATGCATGTGTTGTGATGCACAATTTTCAAGACGAGCATTGGTAACGAACATGCTAAAAATTGTTATTAACTTTTTTGCTGCCATATTCAAATATGCTTAGTTACATGTAATTGTACAGATTTACTAATATATTCCAGTACAATAATAACTTTATCTTTATAACATATAGTATATAATTACTAATATAATATACTACAAATTGATAATGAGTAGAAAAATTTTTTGACATTTTAATTGAAATATTTTGATTGTTTAGATATCGCAGCGAAAAGGTTGATTTTTTTCATCCATAATTTTATCACTTTGAATTATGTGTGGCAATATCTAGTTTTGGACATATCGAACTCACGTTAATCGTTTAAGCGAGACATCACTGATCGTAATTCTCTCCACGACACATCCCCCACAGCAATTCCCGCAACTTATACACAGAAGTAAACATCCTAAACGTATTTTTAATTTAATCTAACGTTTCAACTGTATCTTTGCCGCTGCGACGATAAGTACGAGGAGTACAATCAATCTGCGTGATATATTATCGCCTTCGTAGTTACGCAAATTCTCAAATTAAATTGCAAATATAGTATTACGCAATGGATGGATAATTACAAAAAGATGTCAGAAAAAGTTATCGATCGCTGCATATCATTTGCTAAATGCATAAATAAATGAGAATAAATGTTACGAAGAGAAGGGTGAAATAGATCGAGTACGAATCATCATCGCGACAGAGTTCGATTCATCATCGAGTGCAAGCATCGCGGGGATACGGGAAGGGGGGTTGGGGACTTGGAACGATTATCTACGCTGAAGATAAAGCGGTCCATTCCAAACGTTCCAGTGACAGCGGAGCCTCAGATAAACGGAGATGTCACGGGCGGGGATTCGAGCGTCGCCTCAACGCCGCCGTCGCAAACAACAAAAGCGGTACCGACGTCCGCTCAAGTAAGTCCCTGGCTGGACAACGAGCCGGTGGTGAAGAGTCCGCCGGAGCCCACAAGAGTAAAGTCGCCAGAGCAGATGATCATGCGTTCACCGGAACCCGTGAATTGGACGGTACCCCTCGACACCGGCAAGACCTTCACCGTAACGCAAAACGTCCGGGAAGGTAAGGTGGAAAGATTTTCGATGATTTTCGATGATCGTACAATTCGCAAAATTCTTATTGCTTCAGGGGAATTAGTTACATCTTCGAAAATTTATCTACTATCTATTTTTATATGTTGTAATATATCGTGTTCAAAGAGGAAAGTATTCTTATTTATTTAATACATTTGCGAAAAGCCAAAGAAATTTATTCATTGGAATAAGGTCTAATTGAATTATTGTGTGAACTAAAAAAATATAATTGTTTAACTCTTCAAATAATAAATATTTTTATATAAAAAGAAAAATTTTTTTAGAAAAAATTAGTCTTGTTTTTAACTTAATTTTATTATGTTATTCAAACAATTTCATTATTTTTAATAAAAATATTGAAATTTCTATTTTGAAAAATATTTTTTCATTATCTTAATTAATAAATTAATTAATAATACTTTTAACAATACAATTAAAATGCTTAAAATATTATATTTAATTATTATATTTAATTTACTTGCATTTTGAAGTCTCTTATTTCGAGGGATTCCATTTAAGTACAATCACCATTTTGGAAACTTACAGAGAGAACGATTTCTTTGGATTTAATCAATTTCATTAGATTCAAAAAAATTCATTTTCGAAATAATTCAAAACAAATCAATTATTGATTCAACAAATTCGATTGATTAGTTTTTCAAATAATAAATAACTTTATTTTAAATAAAATATTTGTTTAATAAATTGTTTAATAAATATTAAAGAATCTCTTTCTTTCATTGAAACAATATTTAATCTAATCAAAGTATTATTTAGTTCAAAGATCAATTTTATTTTCTTTCTTCTAAATAATGATGTTTCTTCTATTTAACAATATGGTACACTTTAACGAAACAACAAAACTCTTAATTCAACAAAATGATGTTTGATATAAAATTACTGTTTAAGATAAATAAATTCAAGTTAAACAAATAGAATTGATAAATCTAAAGAAATCTTGTTCTCTCAGTGTACCTTCAAAAAACTATTTCACTAGAAATGATTGAAATAGTCTTACAATATTATATTTTTTATTTTATTCTACATGATTTTTATTTACGAAAATAAAAACCATGTAGAATAAAAATAGAATTCCATCACGACCACCTGGCGGCGATGCCATACGAGTTAATGTTTTATTCCATTTAGAATAACCAAAGAACACATTTTATCAAAAACAATTGTTTCAATCATGATTTTTTTTTTTATTTATTTATTAATGAAATCAAATATATGATTTAATGCAATATCATCATTTAAACATATTTTATAAGATTATGATTTGTTTGAATCAATTTATGTAGGTAAAATAAATAGGAATACAAAGTGTAGAAAGAAATTTTTTTTCTCTAGTGTATAAGTATATTTGGAAAAATTATTATAAAATAAAGATGTTGTTATATTTTAGCGTAAAACACAGGTAATACAGGTAATTATTATGCTTTCGATTGCTTCTTTCGAAGAACCTTTCACCCGTCCGCATAGTGAGGCAAAGACGTGGGCACCCTCTTCGGTACCATCGGCTCCGCAATCGGCACCGCCGGAGCTCGCGGCTCAACATAAATCGCAACATTCCCAGCACTCTGGTTATAAGTCACCCGAGAGCGAGAGCGTCTCGCTTGGTAGTTTTAGCGGTATAAACGGCCACAAAGACTTGGACTCGGAGAGAGACAGTCCGTTGCCCACGAACGTGCAGGATACGCCCACAAAAGATGAGAAGGTCAGTAATAAACTTGTACATTTTTGTTATGTAACATATACATGTATGCGCATGTAGAAAGGAGAATAAGGAAAGAATGATATCTTAGAAAAAGCGTTGTAATTTGCAGTAATCAAGAGACAGAGAGTGGTAGTGTCCAGGAAATCACGATAGTGAGACTGGTTGTCGGCATATTTTGCGAGGATTAAAAACCATATAAACACACAGGATGTCAAATTTTAAGTTTATACAAACTTTACTTTTTCTTGATAAACAATATTGTAATATGTCTTTAATACAATATATTTCAATTTGAACAATTTTTGTTTATTTAATTTAGATATAATATCTTTATGCAGAAATGTAATAATAAAAAAATTACGCTTTACGTATACATCTTTCATTTTAATTGATGTAATTCCTCAATATCATTATTGTTATAAGATCACTATGTATATAGGAATAATTTAAATTAATTTATATTAAATATAAATAATATTCAATACTAAAATTATTTCTAGAATAATTTTCTTTGCAACATTTTAATCTACGACTTTTATTTTAATTTATCATAATTTTAAAAAGTTTTATAAAAAACTTTTCTTACAATGATTGTTTAAATTTTTATCTTTTTTGGAAAAGATAATTTTTTAATATTTTTTACGTTCAATTCTAGGGAGTCACTGATGTCGTCGAAGAAACGAAAGAACAACAGAGCCCAGAATTGTCGACAAAACCGGTGACAGGCACAACCTTAAGACGGCTGGAAGATCCAATGTTCGAAATGGAAAGAAAAAAGGAAAGCGAAATGCCGGTAGCAATCACGACAGCATCGATCACTGCATCGACAACGTCGTCATTGTCGCCCGCACAACAGCAGAGTTACCGTGGTTTCGAGACCGATATGTCATCTCAGGGTACTGGTAGTGGTGGCAGTGGAGGTGGCGGTGGCGGAATCAGCGGCACTGGCGGCATGACGAGTGCAGGAAGTAGCACCACTGGCAGCACTACAGGTGGTTATCATATTCTAGAGGCACCTGCGGTGGTACCGGGTTCGGCGCAACGTTCAACAGCGAGCGACGTCTTGGAGAAGGCGCGAAACCGCTTCGATAAATTCTGGGGAAAGGGCAATAACGGCGCGGAGAATTAGAAGCCACATCTCCTCCGAAACGATAAGGAAAGAAAGGGGATGAAAATACTTTGATGAAGAATCCTATGAATTATTTCTCATCTTGGTAGAGCAGGATGATCCCAGGATGGAAAAAAATATTATCCCGCCCCACTATGTCCTACCGTCAGTTGGTCTGTCCATGTGCTTTCGTAGCTTGTAGCTGCTCAGAAGAATGTATATGTTGTATGTGAGAGCGAAAGAAAGAAAAAGAAGCGAAATGGTATCTCCGTGAAAGAATTTTCTTGATTTAACGCCGCTTTGATAATTTAACATTTTGAGAACAAAATCTTTCTTTGCATTGCATATTATATTGCCGACTCTGAAAATATTGGAAAGTATTTCCAGAGAATAAAAAATCATGTATATTGATTATAAATCATGAATACAAAACAATTTATCAAAGGTTAACAAAAAAATTGATAACTAAGGAGAGGATTGACATTGTTGAAAATGACATTGTTTCTAAAATTATAATCTTTGTAATTAATTTATTAATTCATTAAGAAGATTATTATGTAATAAATATCTAATCAGAATGATTAAAATGATACTAAACATCTCAGATTATAAGCAAAATCGGATTCCTGCTTTCACGGAGACACAAATTTGAAAAGGCCGAGAGTTAAATTACTGATTATTAATGAAAAAAATTTCCTGCTCTTTTTTCTCAAAAGACAGACTGTAGGACAGCGTTGTGGATCTGCGATTTTATCGCATTAGCAAAAGAAAAGAGAGAAAAGAAAAATAATTCTAAACAAGGATATGTCAGGGTGAAAGATCTAAAAGATGGATGTGAGAAGCTTATATGACGACGAGTGCGTGCAGATTGCGTGTCGCTATCGCTTCAAACTCTGAGGAATGACTTGAAGAATGTAACCATTTAACACTTACATGTGCTTGCATATACAAATAGATAATTACATTACATGCGACACGCATATAAACACATACCCAGAAAGTTATATTTGCATCTTTGTTTTCATCCTTTGACTGATCAGCGATTTTATTGCCAGGTCTCATAGGCTGTAAAAACAGAATACAATTATATAAGATGCAGAGTAAAAAAATGAGTAAAAAAAGCATTTTTGCACGCCCTAGCTTGGAATAATTTTATACGAAGCAGGAAAATATTATATATTGCAAAGTTTCTATTGAAATTGTTTTCATTTGTATTAACATATGAAATGAAACGTATTGTAAGAACATGTTTTTTTTCTTCGTGCAAAATTATACTGTCAAAGTTGAGTTGTGCAAATGTTGTTTTACTCATCGCACACCTTCACACAAGTACGCATGCGTACATACGCTAACACAACACACATACTACACGACGTGCGTTCATCGATATAGGGACGGTATCTACGATATACATTTACGTGAAAAACATTAACGTTATATAGGATATTAAAATGGTCCCACACACATGGGATCCACATAGTTAAGTCCGAATTCTTTTTCCATTGATAAAACTCGAAGCCAAGTATCTAGTCGACAGGTACAGAGACAACTTGTCGCTATAAATAAATAAAATCGGGAACGATAAATAGCCTTCGAATAATCGCTTTGTGCGTTTTATATAAGTCTATATACGGAATGTACAATTATTAATATGTATACACGTATGTATACAATTATGGGATATTATCGCATTTGCGAATTATAAACCAAGTGCAGCGCCTCGCTGAGGATTTCTCAAATCATACTATATTGAATATATAGTTAATCATTCTGTAAGACAGAATAATTATACATAAATATTTCGAAAAAATAATTATTGTGATTAAGAGTTAATTACCGAAATAATTTTTATGTAGTTATTTAAATTTAATATATTTATCTATTTATAAATTTAATTTAGTTTTTTACATATATTTTTTAAATTTGTAGTTTCTTTTTTGTCTGTTCTTGCAAAAAAATTTTTTAATTATCAAAATTATATAGATTGAAAAGGTTTGTGGAATCCTTGGCAAAAAACCGCAAACTAGTTTCTTTTGAATAGAGAAAAGAGGTCTCTTTTTATGCGCGTATTGTCGGTACAAAATGCTCTATCTCCATTTCCAAGTCGCACCTCGACCGTCTTGCGTGTGATATCATTGTTGAGTTAATTTTTTCGCTGAAAGATATCGCAGAATAAATGATCTTTTTTTTTTATTGCTTTCAAAATATGATTTTAAATACACTTTCCATGTTGCGAATAAATTTGTCTCTAATAATTAAATTTTAACATTGATTCATTGTTTAAAAATTGTTAGGGATTGATATTTTTGCATGACAAAGCACGATGCGTAATGATTGTATTCCAAAAAATTGGAGAAAAAAATACGAAATGGGAAAAATTTTTGTTATTTTGTTCTAGAAAATTTACGTCAATTCCCAAACAGTTAAAAACAATTGCGTCACAATTTCAGCAGCTGTAAGCAATGCAAAAAGAAATTATATAATTAAATTTGCCGCATAATACTGTAACAAAAAATATTTTGGAAATCAAAAACGATTAATTTTCACTTGATTGATTATCTTGATAGAATCACAGCACAAATGGTCGAGAGACGCGAGTCACAGGCATGGTCTCAAAAAAATCACGGCCCAATTTAGTCTTCACTAACGAAAGAGAATGAATTGCAATAGAAAGGCATAGTGTTTTTTCACATAGAATAACATAGCGCATTGTCACGATTAAAATTTAACACAAAGTGTGTAAGTTATGTGTATGTGATAATGATGGATGAAAAAGAAGTAGAGGAGAGAGGATAATGATAATGATTACGACAATGATGTGACTTTGGTGCTACTCAACTGATCGAAACATCAAACTTATCGATAATGGAAGCGCAAATTTCTAGATTGGAAGTAAATGGAAACCAATCATCGAGAGAGTAAAAAGTGAAAAGGACAAACGAACAGAAAAATGAACATTATCTATTCACTCTGCACGTTGTATATTCCGTCTGATTTCTTGTGCAAATATGTATTCTTTCATACGTTAACTTTAAAGAAAAGCAAAGACAACAGTGAAAATAACTAGGATCGGAGATCGATGACGAGTGAGTTCTTGGATCCTTTATTTGATTTGGCAATAAATATCGGAGATAGCTTGTTAAAAACAATGCACGCGCGTGTGATATTCAGTAGAAAGGTACAAATAAATAATTTAGACTTCGTGGAATATAAAATCAGGAAATATCGAAATTCTAATTGCGCATAATCTCATTAAAATTCATGTTATTAATTCTTAAATATTGAATATTTAAGCGTTGAATTTTAATGTTTTCCTGCAAACAAGTTTCCTTCGTTGTCATTTATAAATGAGAGAACTAAGAAATATTTAGAAAGCACTCGCTTGTCGTCGTTCGAACATGCCGCGAGGCAGAAAGAAGATAACGTTAGAGCTTTTACTCTGTCTCTTTCGCGCGCACGCATACACCACACTCCATCCAGATCCACGTCCAAAAGCCAATGAACCGTAGTGAAGCAGCATATATGTAACAATAATGATAATGATACTAAATAATAATAATACAATCGCTAAGTATATAAGGAGAATGCAAAGACAGAGCGAACAACATGAAACTTGGGGAAAAGATGGGAAAAGATTCAAGCTGCTAGAATTCAGGACGAGAGAAGTTTGCCTCAATACCGTTTGTTACTCGATCCTGACTGTGATTTCGGCGTAACGATTTGGAATGGGAAAATTAATCGCTGATCCGATCGTAGGAAAAAAATAAATAAGTTTCATCCAACGCATTTAACATAAAAATTCAGTTATTCACAGAGCTTCTAAGTCGATTAATGATTCCCAGATTTTAAATTGCAATACAATAAAAAAAAATTTACAAATGATTTCAATTTTATTTAATTTTTTTATATCTGTCTCGTATATTATTTTATTAGATAGCAATAATTATATTCTTAGACTAATTTCGTGCAGAGATAGAAATTTTTATTTTATGATTTATTTATTGTAATTTATTTGTAATTTGTTGACGTGTAAAAATATCTACGAATAAAAGATTCTTATTATTATTTTTACTATTTATTTCTTTATTGTTTTTATAATAATTCTAAAGTTGTTTGGAAAATATTAAAAAAAAAAAAATCTGAGAACTATTACATCTGCATGAATCGCACAGTAATGCTTCCCGCCAAAAGTACATTGCATAAACAATCGGCCTAATTTTTCATTTAGAGAATAATCTTTTACTTAACATATAGGATTGCATATAGAACGGTTATTGAGACATTTTATTGAGTGAAAAATGTGATCCTTTTTGTACCTTCTCCTTTTGGCTTTTGATGTCACACTGTTGCGAATATAAAAATTAAATATTCTTACTGAATGTTGAAAGAATTATTAGCGAAACTTCGTTGGAAAAAAAAAAAGAAAAAGAAAGCAAGACACTTAGAATAAGTCGCGCGATTTCGATTCTTGAAAGAGGTAATTCTTCCATTACGATGCATATATAAATATGTTAACGATCCTTTCCTTTGGAAATTGCGACACGAAATTGTCGACAAGACATTTATGCCCGATTAGATTTACTTTAATCTCGATTTAACTTGCTCTTCATCTTTTTCTAATTCTTAGAATTAGAAAAAGATGAAGAGTAAGTTGAACCGAGATTAAAATTAATCTGCGTTGGTGGAATCGGACATTAAAGAATATACCAAAAAAATTAAAAGATTAGGATAATAATTTTTAGATGTTACAAAAAGAACAAAAGAGAAATCTTTCAGATGTTCTTTTTGTTTTTCCAAGTTCCCAATTAGGAGGAAAATTATCATCGTCACCGATTGTTACATCACAGACATGGACGTTTCGCAGTATCGAATGACGATGAAAGGACTGATTGTAGTCAAATTCTCGACGCAATCTTAATATGATTACTGCTCTTTTGTATTTCTTATTGCAAACACCCATTTGATATTTGGCTTGACATTTGGACTGAACACATATCGTTAGCTCTGCTTACGCCGATCTGTTCAATTTTTACAAGTTTTAATCAATTCAGAAACAAATTTTTTTCTTATCACAAATGTATATTAAATACTAATAAGTTTATTAATTCTCTATTATACTTGATATTTTTATTTTGTCCCGTTTGCTTTTATGCTGTTCAATTTTGAATAATTTAAAATTTTTCTCTCTTGTAATCTGATTTAGAGAGTCACGGCGTGATCTCGAATGCATATTATTGCTAATTAATTTAGATATTTTGACTCCAATGTGGTAGACACTTCTTTCATTTTCGTTTAGCTTAAAGATTTGAGCAATTCGACGTAAGCGACGTTATCGAAGCAAAATTGTATATATTGGCGTGTAATCTATGTCTTTTTTTATGACATAATGAAGAAGCACCTCGCAAGCTTACACTGCCCGTCCGAGTTCAAAAGCCGACCTGTCCCGTGATTTTTAGAATGTCATGCCGCATGTGAATTAGATTATGATTCGATTCGTGAGAAATAACGTTTTCCACTTCTCCAAAACGACCAAAATCGAAAGCAAATATCACATCCATCGCGTCTAATTTTCGCTAAAGTTGCTCTATCTGTATCGATTCACAAGTTTATTCACAAGTGCTTTTAAAAATAGTAAACCGCGAAATATCGTTTTCTTGATTTGTAAACGATAAGATATTTAATTCTATATCTGGCAATAGTCATCGAAATATTATCATCAAGATGCTCACATGCTCGTAATTAGCTAATTACATATGCTGTGGATGTTATTCTCATCTTCAAAGATATGCTTTCGCACCTTAGTGCGAGTACATTCAATTGTGAAATGTAAATAAGGAAAGCTGTGAAAAAGATTATCCGAGTTTTTTCGAATTGAATATAAATAGCGTGACTAATCCTTATTGAAGATGACATGAATTCTTATTAATTAGCAGGCAGTTTTTCATCGCGACAAATTAGTGTTGAATATGCCAATATATATGTTATGTTGTAATTGCGTAAAAATGCGTGAAAGGAAATTCAAGAAAAAATATGATACTCCAAAGAAAGATACTCCTTTCATCATTTATCATTTCCGAATTGATTTTGCTAATAGACGTTATATTTCATGAAAATAACGCGTTGTAGAATTACACAGAATGAGAAAAATGACAAATTTAAAAATTACATAATTAATATTGAAATTAATTTTCGGAGAATTTGTAATTTCGAATATCATTAGGTATACGATAGTTGTTAAATCATCGACTGATTTTCTGTCCCAATATAAATAATACTTATCTATTTCAATGCGAAGAAGAAAGTCAAAAAATGTAATTGTAAGGAAAATATTATGACGATTAAATAATTGCAGATAATTTCAAGTCAATTTCTGACGAATGGCGATAATTCAGGATTAATACGTAATTTCACATTGAGAGATTTTACATTGTTTCATTAAAAACAAACGCTATAACACACCATTCCATTCATTAATGATTAAATATTACTTAATTTAATTTATTTAAAAATTTATTAAATTAAATATGAAAGTTATGCCAGTTGTACCTCTTATAGCAATATTCTTCTTTTATATACAATATTAAAAATTTCTGTACATTTTTGTACAATTTTCAGTGTTGCAAATAACAAATGCGAAGTATACACAATGAAAAATCAAAAGAGTCAAAGTTCTTCTAAACTCGCTTTGAATTTTAATTGAATTCTAATGGAAAATAGATTTATTAATCTATTATTTTATATATTATTATTAAACTTAAAATTCTTTTGAATTAGTATTTTAATTTATACACTCCTTTCGCGATATATTGCAATTACAAAAGAATAACTCGACATTAAAGGAATGCAAAACTTTATATAATTTTTAAAAATTATTTATTACTTTCAAAATTATTCAAATCTAAAAATTATGTTTGATATTATAAAGAATATAGTATGAATTTATTTCTCTCAAATTTTCCGAAAATTTGATTTCATGCTGTATACATGATTATGTACCTTTTTACAGTACAGAAATTTGTGATACACTTTAATATCGATATTCAATATTATGTTATTGTTATAATATTGAATATCAATATTATGAAATATATCATAAATTTTTACATTAAAATATCTGTTTTATATATATATTTGCTGTTTTGAAGTTGAATCATTAGCTAACAGAAGTTTATAAATATAATCCGAGTTAAGCCGAGTTTCAGCTATCGTGATGAGATTATTTTATATATTAATATTATATATTATACATATATATATGTATATAATATATAATATTTTATATATTATCCTCACACACACACACATACATATATATATATATATATATATATATATATATATATATATATATACTACGT